CTATTCCAGTGGTTCTTTATTGCATTGTCGGTTCTGCATCAAGTTTGAAAGTAAAACACTTTCATTAAACCCAGAAGCTAAGCCTTCTATAGAGTCCTAACTCCATTGAAGGATATGCCAAGAAAAGTGTATACCTGCCGGGTAAGACCTTAGCTATTTCAGCCCATTTGTTTCCGTGGATTCGATGAGCATGCATAAGAGCTAATTCTTCCTCAGTGGTCCAAGCATCCTTGTTAATAACAGGATTCAAATGGTTGTGCCACCTGCATACATATCAAAACACAATAAAGCTTCCAAAATAACTACAAGGAAAATGCTTTGCTCATATGAATTTAATTTACCTTTCTCGACATTGCTTCCCAATTCGACCTGGTAAAGACTCTGCGATAGTAGACCATTTTGCAGGCCCAAATTTTTTAACTAGTTCAACGATTTTATCATCCTCCTGCAGAACAAGAATATTTAATTCCCTCGTATTCACACAAAAATAAAAAGCCAAAAAATTATTCATAGAATGGACCTCTTGTGACCATGGTCCCTTAACAAGGTCCGGATTTAGAACTTTCTGCCACCGGTGCAGGCATTGAACTTCAGTTCTAGAAGGGAAAGACTCCGCTGCAAATATAAATACACCAATTCAAACAATCAGAACAATACTATCTACTTCACGGAAACCAGCTGCTTAAAAAAGGGAATCATAAGTTAAAAAAGTTTTTTTTTTTTTTTTGCGAAATGCTCAGCCTCAGATGATCAAGTAGACCTACAAGACTAATTCATTAAACTACATAGACAAGAGTATAGAACTAACAGATATTTCTAATCACAAAACTATGGACTATCTTGTAAATCTGACATTACAATTGCTACCGGAACTACAATTGCTAAGAAGGAAACGAGATTCATTTACCTATTTTCTTCCAGTTCTTCCCGTTAAACGTGCCAACTGCTAGTCTCAATGTCTCATCCTGCAACAAGTAAGACAACTCTTATCATCATTTTTGAACTACTGATTCCATTATTTCTATTAGTCAAAGCAATCACCACTTTACTAACCTCTTCTGGAGTCCACCCGCCTTTTGCTCGCCTTATAGGGCCAGTCGTCCTCCTGCATAACAAAAACTAATCAACATCAGGAAACACTTAATCTATAAGGATGTTAAATACATGACAAATTTATTTCGATTCGATACACAGAGGACTAAGGAGACGAATTAAACCCCAAGTACCTATGAGTTGAAGATACTGTAGCGGGACTAGCAATAGCAGGTGACTTAAGAAAACTATTGGCACTGCCTTCAGATACAGAAGAGCACGAAGCAGCAGTCGATTGTTTATTTTCTATACACTGATCCTCCATTTTCACATCAACTGTTACTTCCTGAAGATTCATCATCCCAATGCAAACAAAAAATCCAGAATTCGATAAGAAAAACTGAAATCCCTAGAAAACTCACCATGGTAAAACACGTACCAGACAAAACCCAGATCTCACAAATCCGGAATTCAGTAAAAACAACAACTTTATCAGTCTACCAAACCATTTCAAAATTTAGGGTTTATAACAATCTAATCACAGAGAGAAATCAACAAGAATCCCAATTTCAAGACTGGTTAAATCCGTTTCGATTCAGAAACAAACAACCATGAACTCAATTTCACTACAATCTGATCACAAGAACAAAACCCTTTACAAAAAATCAGATTTCGATACACACGGAAACAAAAACCAAACCTCATGTGGAGAAGAAGCCG